CCCCCCCCCCCTGCATCCTTCCAGTTCTCTTCAACAAGGATGTATTAAACAAATTTAGTCCGTGGTGCTGTAATGGTCACAATGTTATTGCTCCCCGTCTGCTACGTGGTATTTCTCGTTTAGGCCGAACGCGTGCGAAGCTAATGATTGGCATTTTCAGTCTATACAATTTTGTGTTAAAGCACGAACGCACGAAAAGTTGCGTTTATCAGGTTGTCGTTTGTGAACAGTTTGTGCTCATTTCTTAAGGTTACAGGAGCAAAAGATGAACGCTAGATTTCTCTTGAGTGAACGTATCCTACTTCTATCGATGTTTTTACAGAACTCGGTCGAAGCTAAATGAAAGTTGAAAAACAAGCCAAAAGTTGAACCTAGTCGCTCATGACCCGAATCATCCAAAAAACTTTATCGAATTCACCTCCTCCACTATCGTTTCCTCTCAATTTTTTCCGTTAGATCCATCTATTTCTTGTCAATCCAATGAGTAATTTAATCAAATCATTGGTGATATTTATTATTATAATACAACTTTAAACAACATTTACGACGAATGTATACAAACGTTTTGCAACATTTGTGCCCATACTTCGGCTGAAGCGCGAGGAATCAAATATCCTAGGTTCATGACGACGATAGTCTTATTGATAGGAATGTTCGCGTATTTTTAAATTGGTATATGCCACGGTGAGTGTGCTGCATATCACATGCCGTCGGGACATTAACAATATAAGTATCTTACAATGAGAGAACTTATTTTTCGACGTATTTTTTTCTCACCGATTGTATAATTCTAACTATTAGAAACTTGATACTGGGCGTTAATTCTCAATCACATAGCACCAGGTGGTTAAATGTAACCAACACTTTCAATATGTTTGACCCCCAGCCTTGGGCTTTATTCAGTTCGAAAGTTATCTCAATTACATCCCATATTGCAACAAAGAACTGCTTGAATGAATTGTGATATGAAGTTGTACTAATGAAACCTGATTAGCACAAAAGTTCACCAGGTTGTAAGGTATAATTTAGACCACTCAATCACGTTCTTTTCATTTCGGCATCAAAGTTATCAGTTTTCTGCTCAATAAACGTTTATCTTCTGAAGATATTGTAGACTCGTGCTGTGCTGCATCTCAATTACCCAATCGAATAACACCTAAATAATATTCCAGGAGATGCTACGAGCTGCAGTGGTTAGTAGAATGTTGCTTTCTTTTCCTGAAACTTTTTTCTAGATCATTGGGCCAGATCATTTTTTCCCCTCTGAGAGATGATAATTTTATATAATAGGCAAATTGTTTACATGTGAAGTTCGAACGATTTCGTACAATCATTAGAAAAGGAAGCATAGCCGTGAAGATGCCTGAACTTTGAACCATTTCAAGACTAGAACTGTTTAGTCAGCTGATTTGTTGTTGCTTACAGAAAACAACGGTTGAACGCTATGGACAAAGTATTCAGCAGAGTGTTCGTACACAATCGACGCAAACTGCTACGTAGGTTTATTCAGTTTTTGTAAACTTATTTTACTTCAGTTCGCGTACTGTTACATATTAGGATGAAATTATCCAAGTGCGATCCTACCAAAGGTATGTGAAATAAACGAGTTGTTTCACCGAAGGCGTCGTAGCTCAAGTTCAGATGCAAAATTGAAGATGATATTTTCTGTCTGACTTTTCAAGCAATTTTAGTACTAGCAACATTTAAATATCGTACACCTGTTCTTGCACGTTGTGTAAAAAATGATCTTCAGTCCGAAACGCAACAGTTTCGCGAAAAAGTTGGCCATCACAGGTGCCGTAGCTGGCGTTACAGCTGGTGGCACCATCGCATATGCCTATGTCGATCCATCATTTCGATCACAGCTGGAAATATCGATACCATATTCGAAAGAATTGTTTGCCTATACGATTGGTGAACGTTCATTAGGGTGAAATTTTATTTTCATCGATAAATCTTCAACTGAATAATTCGAGTGAACTCGAATCAATCTTACAAACCCATCGTTTCATAATCTCCGTTGATGAATTTAATCCAGTAGAAAAACTTCATAGTTTGAAATGCAAACAGAACACCCTCAACCGCAGGTTGAAATAGGTTCCTGTTGATGTGGAGGTCGTCATGAATGTTGCAATTCCAATAAAAACAGTAAAAAGTGACTATAGCGAATACATCGGTTAGATCAAAGGTGGCTGGTGTAGATGTGCTGAGATATTGTGACTGAAGCAGTTTTTTTCTAGGCAAACGAAGCAGCATGTGAATGACCTGAAGGAACGCGTTATAAAAGCCATCCCACAACCAAAAAAGAAAGCCGAAGAAACGGAAAAACCGTTACTCACAATCGAACCATTACCCGAAACGTACAAACCGTCCACGTTGAATGCAGTCGTTGATCCTGTCGATGTAACTGCGTTGCCTGAAGAGATTCGACCACCTGAACATGTCAGCAGTGATATGCGAGCAGTAAAAAATCAAGGTACCTGAAGCGAGCTTTTGTTTCACTTTTCAATCCATAAAAGATTTTCGCGTCATAAAGAAGTAAGCGTTGCTAATTATTTGGAAGCTCGTAGGTATGTTTGAAAATTTTCACTGATACTTGTTAACAGATCATGAGAAGAACTTGATTAGATTAAAGGTTTAATTGAAATGGGATGTTATTAAGTAATTAATCCCTGAACATAAATCAGTGATGAACTGCTACGTTCAGAATTGGAGGATTCTCTGAAGGCCGCATTGGTGTCTGCAACAGCCAAAGTACAAACAGCAACTGATGCGAAACTCGTCACGATATCAGCAATAAATGAGCACTCTAACTTGGTTAAGAAAAACGTCGATGATGCGCAGGTTTAGAAGTTTATCTCTCAAATCATTTTATTTTCAATTCGTATTCCTCTTGTAACCAGTCATCGTTTCAGAACGCAGATTGGGATAAAGTAGCACGAGCCTTGGAAGGAGTTGAAAAGTTGAGTCATGACGACGCACTCGATGAAATCGATGCAAGGAACTATCTGGACAGCGTTCGCAAGGTATGCGAACAAATTGCTGTCAACCATTTTGCTGTTTTGTTTGTTGTTTCTGTTGACTCATTTTTTAACAATCCAAAACAGAGGGCCGAGGATAATGAATTATGCAGTAGTTAGCTAATTGAATTATTACATTGTGTATGTTATAATAATATGTTAATCATCCTCATTTCCATCGTTATTGTTTATTTATGTTTGCAAAGGTCCTGCGACCTGTCCGCGCAAAAAATCACTTATTAGGTCTCATCAGTGAACGGGGTCTTTTGAGTTGGATTCGGCATCTCCGTTTTACGCCGGTTGATTTCCGTGATTCAGCACTGCTTCCTCAGCTTTGCGTCCACTCCAGAATTTTGAAGTTTATCACTGAATCATACGTTCTCCAGTTCTAATCCTCCAATGCTCGACATTTCAAGCGATATTTCTCGAACTAGCCATTCGCTGTCGACATAAGTAACCCACTTGAATTGCTTTGGTAGTGTAAATTTTCACATTGTTGTTATTATCATGCAAAGCATTAGTGATTGAATATATCACATGCTACGCTGAACATCCTTCAAGTGACTCGATATGGAATCGTCTGATTATGATGAAGAGTGCTTGCTTATATATGAGTGGATTATAAGGAGTGGACAAACATGTCTTTGAAAGTGATGATTTCAGTTGATAGGTGACGGTCGTGCAAATGCAACAACACAAACGAATCCATTGTTAACTAACGCAACTGAAACAGTGAATAAGTTGGGTCATCAGTTGGACGAAATGAATACGTTGATTGATAAGTCACGTTCGGAGAGTCGTGTTATCAACCAATACAAGGATCTAATCGAGAAAAGTCGACAACAGTTCGCCCAAGAACTTAAATCGATTTTGCCGAACGTTGATATTCATGCGAGAGGTGAGGAATGGAAGAGTCACTCATAGTGTTTTTCATCATTGATCTAATGGTGTCGAGTTGTTTGTTCTTGTTTGATTCAGCCATTTACGCACAAAAATGTGACTTTTGATTATTTGACAAAAAGTGATTATTTCAATATCATTCATGACCGAACTTTACAGATTCGAAACTAACGGAAGACGAACTTAATGCATTGATTGCACACGCACATCTGAAAGTAGATCAGTTAAAGAGGCAACTCACTGAGCAACAGGTTATCCGATAAATTCATCATTCATTTTGTTTTACTCGTAAAGGATGAAATTTTAAAAAATTTTCATATCCCGTTCAGTTCGTTGAGCAGTTCCACCCAGACCTGAGTGGTTGTTCATTTGCTTTTCAAACGTGTTAGTTCATTAATTGAGGACTCAAGAAATGAATCTCAGTTTGCGAATGTAGTTTTACGTATGCAGCCACTTATACAGCCTATTCTTTAGCTAGCGTTAATTGGTTGAACAGTGTGAAAATGTGCGGGGAAAAGGGATTAGTAGCGGTTGTAGCAACAAAATGATTTTGACTCCTTTTTTTCAATAATGAATCTTTACAGCATCGGTCAGTAGTGAGTGTTTATTATTATTATATTTATTGCTATTATTGTTATGTCATGTCATATTGCTCAGATAAGAGAAGAACAAAATATTGCCCGAGCTATCGAACAACAGCGATTATCTGATGAGCAGTTCACTGAACGTCGTGTACAGTTGGAAAGACAACAACTGCAACAACAATCTGATGTTGACATTGAGAGAAAGGTGAATTAAGTTCTCATCTTCTGTATGAATGTTGTTGAACGTTCACATATCCGTAGAACCATATGAGTTGATATCAGACTGAAGCATCAAAGAGAGAATTAATGATTTGCTTTGTATTCTGAGATGTTTTTTGTTTAATTTGGATAAACTCTACCGCTTGCAGCTGATCGACAGTCGACGTCATTGGGAATTGGAACTTGAAGAGCGTCTGCAGCGAGCTGCGAGTGCTCATTCGGAACATCTTGAACAAGTGGTTCGTACACAACGACAACTCTACGATATTGAGCAGAGTCAAAAGGTTTGAAAAATATCGACCCTGCTTTCGTCAAGCTGTTATATGCTTTTGTACAACGTTAGGAATCGTTAACACGAAATACAAAATAATCTATTTGCAATCTAACAGTCTTCACTTTTCTTTCAACCTTTTCAAGCAAGGCCGACATAATTTTTGTTAATTTGTTTTCTATTGATTTTATCGAGGTGATCAGGGGCTATGTTCCCATCATTAATGATCTCTTACTGTTGATTTTTGTTAATCGGGTGTTCACTAGTTCACTAGACGCTAGACAAATAGATCTTTCATGACCATATATCGAACAAATGCACATTCATCATGTTGAGGCGTTCACGGAGCTAGTAGCAACGTCAGATAAACCTTCCTTTTAAGGTGGAAGAGGCGATTGATAATGAGCGTGCATTACACAGTCGACAAATTGGTATTGCGCAAGCTAAACTTGACGGCCTTGAAGCAGCTCTCAATTCACGCGTTGCAGCTGTACGTGTTTTCAAAATTTTATTTAATCTCTGCCAGATAGAAATGTTTAAAAATTTGCCATCTGCTTTTCTATTGAGTAAACATTTCTGATCTTCGTTAACTGAGCAGGACGTGGAGAATCGGCGATCGAAACAATTCTGGATAGCTTGTCAAAATTTGGTTGACTCTGTGATTCATGGCCGGAGGGGTGGTATTGATATTGAAGAAAGAAGACAGCCTTTGGCGAGTGAGGTGAGTAAATTTTTGTAGATCAGACTTCAGGATGCTGTTGAAACTGCTGCTGTGTTTGTCGGAAGTGAATGTTCGGAGGGGCACTCACTGATTCTCAAGAATTTCTTGTAATTCGAAGTTCATTGTTCAGTAAGCTAGCTTATTCTAAAATTAACTCAAAACTGAAAAGCACTCGGTCAGATGTTTAATTGTATACAGTTGATGGTTGATGGTTTTTTTTTCATTTTTAGTTACAAGTGATAAGAGAGGCAAGCAACCGTGATGAATTCGTGAAGTGTCTTCTGGAGGCTCTACCGGATGAAACGATTTACAATGGTGTATATACCGAACAAGATTTGAAAACACGATTCCAGCATGTAAGTGGAGAGTATTCTTTGTTAATTTTCTCTTTTTAGTTTTACTGTTCTGGTTGCCATCTATTCTCTTCGGAAGAGTTGTTACGGAAATCAGAAATAACTCGATGTTGAATCGGAAAATGTTATTGAGCAAACAAAAATGATCATTTGTGCTGCTTGTAGTTTTTGTATTCTTGATACCGCGGAAAGAAACTCAACTGCGAAATTGCTTTTTCATATGGATTCGTTTATATTTGTTCGCCATTCATAGCTTCGATGGATGTAGCAGTGGAATAAAAAACAGGAGTGAATTTAAGCCGGTTGATGGCTTGGCGTTTACATTTGAAGTTCTCTCTGTTAAGTTATCATTGTGCTACCAGCAGAGTTGGTTGGCATAATCACTTGATACTATCATCCTCAGCAACTAAATATTGCTTCCTGCAGTCTCTTCGAAGCATTCAACAATGTTTTTAAAAATTTTTGATGCATCAATTTATGTAGTATGATTGTCGAACTTATGCGACGTTCAGTTATTATGTTACAATCCTTTTCAGCTATATAGGGTTGCTCGTCGTGTGGCAAAGGTGAAGGAAGGTGATGGTGTGATGGGTTATGTAACATCAAATCTCCGTAGCGCTGTCACTCTTGACTTGCCCCGTAGATTTTCTCTTGATGTAAGCATTGTTGCTTTGGAAGAGTCATTCAGTTTTCCTTATCATTAATTAAATCTTCTTAGTGTCTAAAAAGACCAAATAAGTGACATGGAGGATTGATTATTCTTTTTATTCATTTACAAATTAAGGACAAAATCGATGTGAACTCGTTGGACAATTATGAGGTGTTAGCGAGAGCGAAGTGGCTTGTTGATAATGATCATTTGGAGAATGCAGTGAGAATGGTTCAACTGTTGAAAGGCGAACCGCACAGGCTTGCACGTGATTGGATTATTGATACACGTAATCATTTGCAAGCCCGTCTGGTTGCATCGCTACTTGTCACACATGCTGCTGCGGTCAATATACGATCCGTTTACTGATAATAGAATTGATTTATTTCCTTCGTTTTTGTTTAGGCAGACCCGTAATGGGAATGAATGAATATATCTTAAAGTATATTATATACAAGGCACGTCCAGAAAGTAGATTCCGTTTTCATGTGAAGGATTTAGCACAAATTGTATCGAAGTAATTTTACCCCCAAATGAAAACGTACAATTATTCATTTATTTCGTTATTATGATATTTTTCTCGTTTACTTCATTATTCCACTGATTTCCATCGTTATTAGTACATATTTGATATTTGGAAACTGGTGAAATAGTGAAGTGAAATAAACGCTTTCATATGGAGGTGAAATTGTTCAGATATAATTTTTGTGAACATTTCCAACCAACATAGAATTTTCTTTGTGGACGTGGCTTGCGCTTTCATTTGTGATAATACTGTAAGGATGTTCATTATTCGTAGGTAAATAAATATGGTCGGTCTGATCTGATGCGGTAAACAGTCTACTGAAACCATTGCTCAAAGTCTATGCTAGAGGGTTCTCTTATTCTTCTTTTATTGCTGATTTTTTCAGTAATTATCCATGAGAATCAAAAGTTATTCGTGCGATAGAGACGTCGTACTGTATTACTGAGAGTGCAGGTCTGATGAGGTTTGATCACTTTCAAGTTCTAGTGAATTGTGTCCTTATCTTATTTTAGTATTTGTTTCAAGTTATTATTAAGTTGTTGTCAGCTTCTTCATACGTTCGCATTCATCATTTGTACAAACAATTATTTTCATATTTTTCCTCTCGTCTGCCGTTCTATAATAAGTTCGTAAAATAAATTTGAACGCTCCACATGCTATATGAACAAACCAATAAACTAGCATTAGTGAGTTAAGATTTCTCGATTGTAATACTATAGCTGGTTAAAAATTTTTCGAACTACTGATGGTCGGATAGATTGCAGTCGTAACGTGTATCGGTAATATTTGTATCAGCTATGTAACGTCAAGTATGGAGGTGTGGGGAAATGCTGGTACTGAATCCTTGAAGTAGTTTGTTGCACTTCGCAAATTCTGAAGACTGTTGTTGTACATGGAAAGAAGTTGAAAAGAGTGCGATGTATGCGTGGCTATTGTGTGTCTATTTTGACTGATATGCACTTGCATTTGTTTGGTACTAACGCTCGGATAATACAATCGATCCCTACTCTTCAAGTGTTTTCGTTTTCTTTTCTCTTCGTTGTCTGCTGAACCAGATGTAGTTCAACAGAAGAATTTATTGAGCAGTGTTGGAATCCAAAAAAGAACAACTCTTTTTTCTGATAATTCGGAAATTCGACGAACTGATATGTCCGGTGTGAGTTTTGGGTATGTGGATGTTCATAGTGCAGTTAAATTATCACATAAAATGCGATCTTCTACGTAGATGCCGAACAAAATAATGTTAGAAGTTTACGGGCAGGATCATGAGCGCTCTATTTTTAGTGGATCATCAGTCTCAGTTCCAGCCAGAATTTGAGATACGATTCCATTTAAATTTATGATTCGTTTTAGTTGATGTTTCTCAATATTACCGCATATGTCTGAACGACTGCTTCAAATGATATTACTAGATGGGGAGCCCTGAATTTCATAATTTCAATGATCGTCTGTAAGTGACTAAATCTTTTATTTTTCAGCTAGGTCGAAATTGGCTCAGTTATGTTACATATTTGTTTTTTGCTATTATGGATCGAATTCATCTAACACACCTTACAAAAACTGATTCGATTACTCATAAATGTTCGCTGGTAATGAGTTAATGCATGAAGAACTGTTAGAAGAACTGATTTATTGTCACCATGAATGAGGAGTGTAATTAATCTAGTTTTGAACTCGTGTATTAGTTTTAAATGCACTTTTGTGCTGTTCACGGTTCAAAACACAACCAAAGGCCTTGAACTAATACTTTTTGTGTAAAACGCATTTTTGCCCACACTCACTAGTACAATTGAAGCATATGTGATATGTGATGAGATATATGATGAAATAAAATATAATCATGTGTCTCATTAAATGCATGATAAATTTGATTCGAAGAAGCACATGACAGACAACAAATTTCCACTGAGCAAAAAGCACATTAAACCGTTCAAAGCAAATAACAAAATTACATGAAAATAGGATATGTATGGTATTTTACCATTCCCGTAGATTCATCATCCGATCCATTTGTCGAATCAGTAAATATTCTCATAAATATTCTCGTAAATATTCTTTTGGATTTTCTCATCGTGTGGTTTTCGTATCACCCATCAATATGTGTGCAATTCTGCTAGAAACACAACTCGAATAAATCACCCCATTTAGAGTTATAATGTAAAGCGATCAGCACCCTAGCGGAAGTTTTTTATCATCTCTTAATGAGTGACCGTCTATTTTTTGTTCATAAATGCAGGTCATCGCATAAACGACAGAAAACGAATAAAGAGAATTGATGCTTAAAGATGTATCACATCATTCAACAAATACTGACTCGCTTTTAATGCTTTTTGCGAACGACCTACATGTGTGAAAATTTTTCAGACAAAATTCAACGAAACGAACAACCCTTTGAAAATTCAATGAAACCTTTGAAAAATTCAATGAAACTTCTGGGAGCTTCGAATGTAACAGATATTTTGTTGTTGTTTCATGGAATGAATTCGTATGTATAATGGATGATACCTTTGTGAAGTTATCAAAGTGAAAAACGATTACAAGCTAGACTTCAGAAGTAGAACTATCACCGAAGTATCATATACAGACAGTTATGAAAGTAATAATTCAGTCGTTAAAAAAATGCGTTACAAATTCATAAACAGGTTACGTACGAGAAAGCAGTACAATGGCTGCAAGTCTTTTGATCACACGACATTCCAACGTCTGTTTGGTGCAGAATCCGGGCCTCAGCCAGACTTGATCTTACCCCTCAGTTAATGTTCATAACTGAATATTGAATGATCAAAAGACATGCACAAGCAAACGTCTACAACACTCACCAAGAATGTATCAAGGTGGAATTTTTCACATACTTTACGAAACTGGTTACAATATGACTAGAAAAAAATGAGGAAGTGAATAAAACTACGATGTATTTGGAAATGAGTTCAGTAAGTGCAGTTAGTGAAACCGTGTCGAATGCACAAAATTGTTTCCATTACTTTTGGACCTGTATGTGTCTTTTTTCGATCATGGTGTAAGTATGAATTACGTGGGAAAAGCTTGAATTCTTTCGTAACAAGTGACAGCCTCATTGGAAGTTCTCATAAGAAGCGACGAACATCCTTTCTATTGCACACTGAACCCATTTTGCAATGTCAGAAACAATATGCCACATGGATTCTTTGGTGCAGCCATCAACTGAAAATCCATGAGAAGTTCGTTCTCAACTAATTTACTGAATGTAACATTGCTTCAATATGACACAAACAAGACAATTTCAACAGAACGAAAGCATTCAGCGTCTTCATAACATTAATCTACGGTCAACAATAGAGATGAAATTTTGTTCTGTTAATAACGAAGATGTCCTTTCTAGTATAGTAATATTGTTAGGGGATGAATTATGCCTAGGAATAGCATGGAAAAGTAGACTGTGGTTGATCTTCGTTAATGGTTGCAATCATAAAAACTGTCATATCCATCAACAATAACTTAACACTGATGACGGAGCAAAATTTTGGTTGCTACTGGTGTTCCAATTTTGCTAGTCTTAGCGCTCATAGATTTCGGAAAGCATCAATGAAGAAAGCGTTTTATGTTTGGTTGGAAATTGGTCAATACTAGTTGAAATGAACGTATGATGCACAAATGAATGCAACAGACGTCGATATAAAAGAACAACGAAATTCAATATGAAGCAGAAATACGCTAATAATCATACAGTGCTACTACTCGTCATTGAACTGGGCCTTATTATCAACATGTTTGCTTAAAATGAACATAACTTATTATTGTTTGACTGCTGATGCAAACAATGAATATATGGAAGTAAATACTAATGACAGACAACAATTACTATGATGCATATTGCTAAAGTTAAGAGGTGTGTTGCAGCATTAGTCATCATCTTGTTGACGATGTGAAAAGAGCATCCAAAAGAACAACGACACTAGTACTGATATCAATTCTAATAATAGCAATAATAAACATAGTGAAATCAATCATGCTTATGGTTCTTAAAAGATATTTCTTGGTTGCTCGTGACAGCGAATGATATTTTGCACAACCCCGCATCAGCCAATTCAGCTTATTTTATGGATTTGCATTTTCGTCATCCGCTTCCATTTTTTCGTCTTTTGATTCAGACGTTTGACGAATTTTCGACCGCAATGCGAGCACTTTCAGTGGTTGTTCGCCTGAAATTTGATATGAACGTCATCCGTTTTCATTTTCAAGTGATTACTCTCTATCTATCAATATCTGACTCGAGACCGACATCAAATATTGCTGCTACATCTGCTTCTTCTTTTTATACTCGACTGCTGTACACAAACAAACATGCGCCTTGAAATGAATCGTCGATATGCATATCGCCTCAGATACGCTAACTATATTATAATATCTTAGTGAATCAGAAGCAAACTGCTACGAATAAATACATACAATCCATTTTTATGATACTCCACTCATTTACTTAGCAGAATCGCCATGTGATTCAACTTTATCCATACATCGTCACAAAACAAAGGATATTGTCATTTTAAATTCAGGCATATGGTGTTAACTGTAAGCGATTTTGTATCAACTGAATTTTTATAAATCCACAATTCCAATGATTTTCACACTTCTTCACTGCCGGAAGAACTCTTCAATTGTTCGCTCATTTTTCTGAAAATACCACATGCACCACCAAACACCCAAAAATAGTGAAGATTTTTTATAACACTACCTTGTTGGACCAAATCTGCTAGTGAAGCTTTCTCTCCTCATCACGGATTGCAACGTCCGGAAACGGCAGCATAACATTTCGCGCAATGGAACACGAAATTCACGGTTGTATTTGCAGTAAATTAATGGATTCAGAAGGCTGAAATTAAAGGAAACATCTCCAGTTATTTTAAATATGAAACCTAGAAGACGCTACATACATATTCTAACACAATGCTCTACTGCTGATCGCTTCACTCTTTCTTAAAGTAAGGAGGAAAACTTTTGATTCGTTAGGGCCAAATACTAAACAGTGCCTATTTTGCAGTGGAAAAATGCTTTGAATGTTGTGATTGCCGGCATTCTCAATCATTCAAAGGACTGGTCCAGCTCACTTAATTAATTTTACAGGTTATTACTGGTAAGAAAAAGCAGATGTTGCACTAAATTGTAGCGAAATGCTCTTTACTAGTGTGCGACTTTTTGTTCGTCCGTCATGGACAGTGATTGACAGCTGAATATTGGTCGTATCATTTTGATGGAGTAATAGAGGCACAACAATAAGAAATGTGAGCAAAGAACCTGTTAGAATAGCCAAGCCAAAGTACGAGATGATCCAACCATCGTGGCGGAATTATGCCATGTGGCTTCAGCAGTGCAATCAGAAAAAACGGAACCCAACAAACGATGAAAACGCTCATTATAACACCTAACGTTTTGCGTGCTTTCCCTTCACGCCTTTCTTGCACTTTGCCATTGTGAACCTATAAAGCCTTTCATTTCGACATCAATGACTCATAACTTGATAGCGAATCTATCCATTCATAGGTCATAAGTGATTCAATTTCCATCTCATGAATCAATCCACTGATTACTGTCAAAGCAAGCTCTTGCGAGATATCAGTTAAAAGATTCCGATGCAATTAGTCTGCTATTCCAAATTTATTAAGTTCAATTCTTTTCTTGCTAGAATCTCGTTTTCGAATAAAAAAATCCAATAACAAACAGTCTCAGTTTCAGTCACTGCCGCTTTCGGCCTTCTAATAATTTGACAACTTTTTTCATCGTTGCAAATGCTCAACCAATCTATCGCTTCAACATGATCGAAAGCAAACTGGAAAGTGATTGTCATCATGAATCCATGGCCTTAATGAGAGTTCATCTTTTGAGAAATTACTCCGTAAAACTTTCCTGTGAAAGAGTATAGCTGAGTGTTTTCACAGAAGAGTGAATTACCTCTCGGAGGTAATTTGGGAGTGTCAAGAGGTAAAGATGAACTTGTTCATAAATTTCAATTCGTTTATGCTTTTTTCACTGTTTTTCGTTGTTAATTGCTGCGGTTTTCATTCTTTGTGCAGCTGGTAAATGAACTTCTGAAAATACTTCGGAAAATAAAATTCTTTAATTTTTGATCGGCTTCTGACGTTAAAACAGTAAAATCTTCTAATGGAGGGAGGGGGGACAGGAGGTGATGACAGCCTGCCAGACCATACAAAAGACAACGCAGATTTCAAGCGTGAAAAACACTGCTATAGCTGAATATGAACAGGGCCTTTTCGATATTCAAAAGAAACAAAGTATTGGTAAGATGACAAAACGATACTGTTTACTTCTACAACCCGTTTTACTTGAGAAAGTCGATTCGTACGTGCAATAAAAGAAATTAATAAGATTCGTCATAGTCAAGTAGTGAATTTAGTACTATAAAGACGGATTCACGATTGTTCGACATTCATCTGCATTTATTAAGACACTAATGCTCAGCTGCTTGCTTATGACTTGATATCAAACAGCTCCATAAACTCATCGGCTCGAAAAGAATAACTAATGACTTTAAGAGTGTTAGCCTAAAGGTGACGAAAACCATGATGTTAGAACTGATTAGATCCAGCTTAAGCTTAGTCCGAGGCTGACGATTAGACTTAGCCCAATGTTTGGCGTCATCCTTACATTCACATTTATAGTCAAGCCAAGAACACTTTTCTATCCAGCAATATTTAAAATTATTTTGATACCTCATGAAAGTACAGAGAAGAGTGAAGAAGGCAGCGTTCAAAGAATGCTATCAAAATGTGTGATTGAGATCAACAAGTGCGTTCTAACTACGAGTCATAAACAGGGTCAAATCGCTATGAGTAGAGCCGTGATAAACGATTTTATTACGCACATGAAGCAAGCGTGTAGGCATATCACTCGCATGAAAAAAATGTCAGTATGCTTTAATACAGACGAAATAAATTCGATATAATTATGCATAGTTTCCATGAGCATTTGGGTTCACAATGATCAGAAGGCATGTCAGTTGATTTTGCATAAGTAATAGTGAATTATTGAGATTGTCCTTGTCTCATACGGATCGAAATCATTACTTGATTGTGTTGAAGTCAATGAATCGAAATCATTAAGTCAATGAAGTGCCATTAAATTTTCTCGTGCAATAAGTTTTATTGCATTCCTATTTCATCGCTATGTGCAGTATAATTGATGCACAAAACGTTTTCAAGATCATTGTGTTTGCATAATCGTCACTCTGGCTTATGACTTCAATATGCACAGCACAGAAATCTGTGACTGAACCATTCATTTCCGTTTTCAGTTGGGTTATCCTCAAGTGAACAAACGCACTTAGGAAAGCGATCGTTAAGGCATTAAATTTCAGCGTCTTGCAAGCAAATCGAATCTGAGCATGTTAAAGACTATTCCCGCAGCTGATTCAAAAATCTTTCTTTTTGAGTGTTCTCTGTGAATTTCTCTCTGAAAACATCGATTTGGAACGACAATGCCACTAATATTATTCGAATCAGTCAAAAAGACTGCTTATGGAAACGAAAAATTGTTATGAAAACTTTTTGAATGAAAAATCAATTCCCGAGGTATTAACGTTCGTATTCCCGTGCTCAGTGAATCGTTTGCGTTGCTCAAAGATGATGAGGCTTGGAGACGTGGGACCGTAAATCTTAGAAAAGCATCCGTCAAAAATCAATGAAATGGTAATCGCTGGGATGTCGATCGATTGCAAAATATAATCCAAAACCATAATTGTAAAGCCGTGAGGAGAGTCGATAAAAACTGAAATAAAAAAATTTCCGGTTGAAAAAATGCTTTCTTGTAGTACTGAACCAGGTTATGTCGTTGGTAATGTTCAAGGATTGCGTGCTTGCTTTAATAAAAGTTTCCTATTTGATATGATTTTTGACTGAAAACAGCACGCAAAACAGACGTTTGATTTTGGAAAAATTTGTCGGAAACAGAGATGACTAGGCATGCGAACGATTGTTTGAAGCATTCAGTTGTTACTTCGGCAATGAATCTGGCATACGCGTATTTTAAAACCATTATTGTAAAGCCGCGAAAAGGTATTACAGTGGGTAGTTGCAAAAGTTTCTATCGTTATGTAGAGAAAGCGCGCGACAAGACCAAATAAGCATTTGCTAAACAATATGGTGCTATAGAGTTCAACGTCTTGAATACAGAAACAAATGTTCCCAATTTGTTATTTAGTGAATTCGTATACAACATGGTCGAGTGGCTTATTGAAGAGGAAGAATGTTCGAAAAAATACTGCACGGAATGACTAAGAAGATAGTTTATGCAAATGATTTCGGGTTATACTAAATGTACGCATGACATTGTAATGCATGTATGACATTATATGAACATTATCGCTAATGCGCTGGTCAGACATTTATCACAGCGACTGATCACCCATTGAATGAAATCACGAAATGAAATTTCTAAAAACTATCCGACTGATACGAAGACATCACGATACACTATAAATAACCATTACGTTTTTTTTTTTTCAAAAGCATTTATACGTGAGGAAGAGATTTTCGATTTGTTTACATCTTGATTGTGTTCTTTCAGATATTCTGGCGTTTGTTTTTTTTCATTGATCGTTATCGAAGGCAGCCGTGAACAATTTATGATAGTTGTTGTTTTATGGATGTTTTGATTGCTGCTCGTCGACAAATTTGCATTTAAGAAGAACAACAGCAGCAGCAGCAGCGCATCAAGTGGCACATTCTCTGTGTGAGCGAGCGCATATGCGATACACGCCTTTGATCAGTAGTTCACTTCCTTCCGTTCAGAATCAGAAGCATTAACGATTTAATATCGTACTGAAGAATCACAAAATTCTAGAAATCACAAAAGCAATGAATCACGATTGAAATTTTGGCTCTGCTCTTACAGTGGCTCATATTTATGAAATTTCACTTAGAATTGGTCAGTTTAGTCGCTAGGCTATTGGTTGTAAACTTCAACTTCAACTGCTAGAATTGTTTAGCTATCAGATGTGTTGATTCTTGATCTGGATGAGGATGTGACAGGCAGCAATTTAGATAACGAAACGAACACGTGTAGAAACAGGCCGCATGAGTATGAGTTTGCTTTATGGGCACGAATACAAAAGAATGCGTAAAGAGATAAATTGAGTACTCAAAGTTGCAAATCGCTACTAATTTTTGTGCACTAACACGAACTGACTAAGCAACAGTAGCAACGACAAAAGTAACAGAAATGAGAGCAACACTTCTGAAAATACGTCTAATAAAAACTATCGCTGAAAACAGTAACGAAAGCGATAACAGTGGTAATAAAAACGATAGCGACAACAACAGAGCAATGCTAAGAACAATAATAATCATAAAATCAATTCTTAAAAAATTATTATTATCATGACAATAATAATATTAATGAAAAAATAAGCATTAAATTTTTTTCAAATAATGAAAGTAGTAACAATTATAACAAAAGTGATTTCCAAAAATTACCAATGGTATTTTCTGTAAAATGGTTGATGGTCGATGTAGCTTTCGTGTATTTGTCGTTGTTGTTGTCGCTGTAGCCGTAGCTGTTGGTTGTTCAAAGCCATTAATGCTTTTCTTAGCGATGCGGTCTTGATCTGTGAGCCGTTTAGCCGCAAGCCACATTTTAACGTAAAGAATTATCATGATCATTGTTGGCCCATAGAAGGCTATCGTAGTTGCATAAATTTGGTAGACCGCATTTTGATTCACCTAAAATTTCCTCGAATTATTCTCCAGATTATTTTTCGATATTGTGAGATCATATATTCGTTTGCTCATTGTTTCCGCTCATCTCGGTTTTTAAACGAGACTGTTTAATCCACCCTTGATGAAACCATACAAAATTACAATACGCACTGGAGACGTGCAGCATAACGAGTCAACGAAGAACGACAGTAGCTTTAATTATTTTGATGAGAGAGATTTGACGTTTTGTTGAGGAGGAATGCATAAATCATATCATGTAAATATAGACGAATTTCTCGAGTTTATATACACTTTATGTTCATGTTCACATCAGATTATCAATCTGCGAAACAAATCCCATCGGAAAAAATCACTTGTGAATTAGAGAATTGATACAATGATCGTAAATGGCTGTGAGGAAAGTGTAAACATTTCACAAAATCTCAGTAAGAAAATAGATATTGAATCTTATCGTAAGTCATTTCATACATGATGTCCTTTTATAAAACCAGCGCTATGAAACGACAGCAACAAGTCGTTCATTTCAATTTTCCGTCTTCATCAATGAATGCAGCGGACAAAGATATTTCGAGAAATGAGCGTGCTTACTGATTCGAAGTTAATAACAACAAGAAATTTTATTAGTTACCTGTTCATATCGTATTTGAATTTGCGTATATAATATTACATATACAATATGAGGTAATATAATCGCATTCATAATGTGTTTTCTCCTGGAATAGCGGCGCGTAGATTGTCCTCAAGGGCAATTCTTCCAATGAATATCTTAGAGGCTGGGAGAAGATCAGCGATACGTAAAAATTGAGAGACCTTGTGATACATAATATGCCTTCAAACGTAAATCGCATCTAATGAAGCAACTGATCAACTTTAAAGCCTCATTTCACTCATCATCACATTTTCTAAGCAAATCCATGAAAGAGCAAATCCATAAAAATGAAGAAATGATTGTTCCTGTTCGCCTCGTCCCTCATCAAAGTTTCCAAGTATCAAGTGGAAACAGCTACGACATTATTAAGCATCAGTAGAAGTCTTTCGTCGACATATTGTTCTAGTTTAATGAGCGACTAGAAAACGCTGATTATTTTACATTCTTAGGGAGATCTATATTTTGGTAATATTTTAATGAAGACTGCGCGGTAAGAATGCTTTGTGACCGATACCTTTGCTATAGATCAGGCACTGTTAAAAGTGATTCCTCTTCAATCCCTTGAATGTCGATCAACTGAGATCAAATTGAACGATAAATTGCCTCAGTCATCACTTGCTTGCTTCACTAAGGCAATAAATGATAAATTGCTTGAACTTAAATTGCTTCACTAAGTATTCTGATGGATGAACAGTCAGCATGTGCATAAGTTGAGGAAATAAAAGAAACGTCAAGATATATGTAAACTGCAGAGAAGCACTTCAATCACTCACACTCACCATAATCACAAATCTTAATCACCACAAATCATCTGTTTTTGTTTTTCAGTTCTTACGAATGTGGACAACATTCGACCAACTGTTAAAATGTGTCAGTTTGATCGATTTTAACCTCATTTTCATTTATCACCCTGAACACACCACTAGAATAGCATGCGCTAAAACAGACAATCTATCGCTAAATCGGAGATGACTGACGAATCGAGAATGCAAATTGGTAATGGACAAAACTTCTGCAAATACGATTGAGTTCGTATTGCTGAGAAAAGAATGTTACAAAAGGTAATTCTCCATGTAAAGAACATCTCAACGAGTTTTTGATGGTAAATCATATCACCATTCTCATCAACTATACTATCATTCCCGTTGATCTACCATTGACCATCATCAAACTATCAGTATACCATCACAAATACATTATATTATCAAATATACTACCATTGACGCATCCATAAAAATGAACTAATATGGAATCCTTCAAGCTCATCTATTTTCAGCCTTAACAGTCATCGTCTTCTTCTTTACACACCATCCTCAAGTATGTAAATGCTGTTAGTAATTTTTTTTAGAGAACAGGATGAGTAAAATTGTAAGAGATGAATTTTTGGTGAACCTCTGGATGAGTACAATAAAGTGCATCTACAAAACTACATATATAAACCCTTTACTGAACCTTTCATGCAAATAATAATGCATCAATATTATTACCGACGTATTTAAGTATAGTGAAGGTGGTAGTTGTTCGATTCGCTGATAATCCCAATTCTTATTAATGTTTTGCTAAAATTTGCGTTCCGAAATGTATATTCTAGCCATTTCGTTTTTCTTTTGTCAAATTGTATCCATTAAATGTCCAGGGACCAATGAAACAATTTTGAGAGTGTAATTTGCGATGAGAAAGAGAAGAAGCAGTTGTGAATTAGAGATAGACATGTGGTATATGCTGCCGTACTGGTAAGGAGCAACGAACGAACATCAAAACTTCCCGAAGAATGTCTCATCATAAATTGCAAATCTTTTAATGCTTGTGTAAATTTCAAAATAATACAGCACTGGATGGCTGAATGCTGTTGCTGATGATGCATCAAAATACAACCAGCTTCACCGTTTTTTATAGGTTTCGAATAAATCAGTGTCTTAATATACAGATGATTGCAATCAATATATCACCCTTCAATAAATCACTTCACAACTCCACAAAAAAACAAATTACAACAATAAAAAGAAAGAAATTTTCGTTTTCGACATTCAAGTATTTCAAAATGATGGAATAAATGTCACTGAAGTTCGGCGATTCGGAAGAAACAAACGCACGAATCAACAAACACAACTAGCACACTGCAAATGAACAAAATGAATATGAGTATGAACGCTCACTGCACTCCTGTAACATTTCACACTGTCTGAAAACCTCTGAACGGTTAGCATCCGTAAGGAATTTCAGTGCAATCAATTGTATAAAATGTCAAGCAAAACAAAAGAGTTTATGAACTAACTTGAGCAATTCAGTATTAAAATTCTTTTCTTTTTTGGTGCCTATGGACAATGATACAAATGCGTCACAGAGCAAGCGCATATAAGCGTCTCTCTTGCATATTTACTAGATGGCACGTCACGAAAGTATCGCTTAGCATTTTTGATGATGGTAGACAACGGCTTGAAGGTGCGCATCATTCGAAGATATCAATCCCGACTATTCTATGACAGATCCCAGATTTGTATTTCGACGACCAGCAGAAATCAATAGCAGCGATACGACGTTCACGATGACGGCATTCATTTTCGTCATATAAACAACTTTCAGTCATGTCAAAATTTTCTCCTTTACTTTTAGAAAACTTCTTCCTTACCTTATGTCATTTGTAAATTATCACTTCGATCAGCCGAGAATTATAACTAAAACGTGAATGTAACCAAGAACGGTTGGAATAAATGACTAGTCATTCGTTTTTTGGTGCTGCATCAAGTAAGACATGAGACACACATATTGTTATTAGCAATTGCAATTAGACGATCGTTTGAAATGACATGTTTATGATGTAGAGATTATCATACGTCCTCAACAACGGCATATACTTGACCAGAACGTTGCAAAGACGCTTCTTGAAATGCTTTTAGATGCTTGATTTTTTAAGCGATTTTTTGGTTAGCAACAAAGCCATTCTAAATGGTTCGATTTGGCACACTCAAAAATGCATTCAAATCCATTTCGCTCCCATAAATGTTCCCCTATCAGAATCAGCAACTGCACTTCCTATTCATAAATTCTTATTTCTACTAGAGAAAAAAAGACCGCATCAAAATGGAATTACCACATTGGGAATAGAATAAATTGAGAGACTCATAGCGATTCATTTCACTCATGAATTGGGATGATGATTATTTTGCTCGTTAGGTTGACAACAAATGTTTTTTGGGAAGTGACTGAGGAGAGACTGATGGTATGTGAAAGTTTATTAATGGAGTGAAAATAAATTCGAATCGGCAATGTATATTCTCCTCACCTGACATGTACCTTCAATACGTTTCGCAGGCCAAATGACCAATGGCGATACACTAACAATGAGTGCGACAATCCAAACGATTAACACATAGCAACAGATACGTTTTCGAGTACGTTGTGCCGCATAGCGAAGTGGTCTACTGACCGCACAATAACGGTCCACACTAATCATACACAAATTTATTATAGATGCCGTACAAAGTGTCTGATCGGCCGAAGTCCAAAGCCGACATAAAGCTTCACCCAATATCCAACGATCGCTGAGTAGATCAACGAGCGCTAATGGCATCACTAACAAGCCAACACAAAAGTCGGCAAATGCCAATGAAACAAGGAGGAAATTAGCTGGTTGTTTAAGTTTACGTACCAGTAGAACAGCTAACATTATTAATGCATTGCCGATCAAGGTGGCAATGATCATTAAACTAATCGAAAAACAGATGATTAACAGAGACAGTAATGAATGTTGTTGTGGCTGATGGTGATGTTGTTGGTGATATGCTGCTGAACTGTAATCATCAGCGAAGGAGACTGCTGTTGACCGAGATTCAGAATCGAAATCAGTACTGGATGAGAAAGTCGTTGAATAATCGGCCAGGACGGCAACATTTTGGACTGACGAAGCACCGATTGGAGTCATAGGAATCAAAATTGAATCGAACTTCAACTGAAAAAATCACTGATCAAAATGCTGCAATACGAACAATACCTATGTCAATCAACGAGCGTTCAAGCATTTATCACTATCTATTAATCCTCTCGACCATTCATCATCCAAAAATCTGTTCTTGATGCAGCAACACTTAAAAGTAGCCACCACCACACTGACGTTACCATTACCCCAGCAGCAAGAGCAATATCAACAACAGCAACAACTATAACAAAAGCAGTGGCAACAGCACGCTAGAGCAGTACCAACCAGTCAGCAGAGTGCAGAGAAAGAGCACACTGAACGGCAAATCTCCACGCAATTGACGATCGTCGTTGAAGACAGACGTCTTCGTTCAGCAGATGCCGACCGGATGCCGAGCGACTGCGATTGAATCTCAAAAGGATCGCTGCTATGAAAAGAGCAGTTTCGTAGAACAGTGATACGATTCGTAACGCATACAAAAGTAACTCTGCAATTATTCGATTGTATTTGAAAATGATACGAATGCATACATAAACGCAACGTTTTCTATGCTAAGGCAGCACATTTAAAGAATACGGAAGCAATGATCGATGATGAGTAAGACGAAGTACAAGGTTAACGAATAGAATGAATCGAAAATGCAGCTTAATGAGCGTGTAAATGGCTGCTTAATCATTTCAGCATCATATCTGATGAGATCCACGAAATCAACACAAAAATTGTGCAATGCGTCTCAGCAGTCAAGTTCAGTAAATATAGCAACATGCTGCAGTTGTTTGTGATCTATAAACCGAGGATAGCAACCTTGCGGCTATTTTCAGTAGCAACATTACCAACTGCAATATCAATTGTTTCAAAATAATTTGGAATCGATCAGCGATTCTTAAGACTGAAACCGCAAAATTTTTTTATCGGTTGATCAGCAACCATGAAGAAGAAATAGTCCTATATCTAACAATGAGTCAAAAAGCACTGAGGGTCACAATAAAACAGATGGCGTAAATGAGAGAATCTTCTTCGCATTCGTGCGATATTCTTTTTATTCTTGTAATCAGTAGTGTTCAAGTTAAACCAATATGAGGCAATATTCGCTATAGGCCAGTCTCCCTATAATAATAATATTATCATTGAACATTGATTGTGAATCCTTTGCTTCTCAGAATCACAAACAATCAACTGAGTAATTGTACACGACAATGAATGGATGGATTCATTCAAACACGCATTAGATAAAACACAATAACTTCAGCAAACCCGATATCATCTGAAACATCATTCGATCACGTAACAATAGCCTAACCTAACAACCCACTTTAATTTCTGGTCATTTGGGCTCACCTTAGACCGATGAGGAATTACGACCGAATAACATTCCAATAAATTAGAACTGAATATTATAAATCAAGGTGAACTGACGTTGAGATGGGCGCTAGCTGTAAAGAATCCAGTGTGAGGTGAAAGCAAGGATTTGATGGTATGAAGTAAATGTATTCATTCAGGGAACTGATTGGAATCTGTGAAAATTGGTTTAATTTTTAAGCAATGCTGACATATTAAAAAAAGTGGTATCTACCGCATTCATTGTTAGTAGGGGGCTCTTCGAAATGATTGTTTCTGTCACAATCGCGGAGAGGAGGATAAACATTCAGCTTAAACGTTGAAACGAACACTGAAAATCGAAAGCACGCAATTGATGCATTCAACTGTCATTTCACAGACAGCAAAATTAATGTTCACATTAATGTAATCTATTATTATGAAGTTCTGAAAACTGTCTTTGAAAATCGAAATAATTGAAGAAATTGATCGCCTATAAACGATAATTCATCTATCAACAACGCTTCTCAAATTTTCCAACAAATGCGTCCATTACTTTCTGCTCAAGATCTCAAAGGCAGTAATTTTGACTGCTAAATTGATCGGAATTCAAACTTAAATCATTCATTGAAGGCTATTATTTTGGAAAATCCATTAAAATTTAGTAGAATCGACGTAAAAACGAACAATTGTTGGGCATCGAATTAGTATTGCGTGTATTCAAAGAGCATAATACCCTTCACTTCACAGTTTTATTAGCATTATTATTTTGTGATGAGATGGTAATGATGACCGACTGAGATGATGAATGACATATTGATAGACGTGCGGCTCTCGGAGATATATGCACGCTTCATTTCAACATCATTCTTGTCTCTTCCTTTTCATTGCTTTGCTTCAAATCTTAACCAATAACTGATGTCCAGATAGAACGAAGGACACAACTATCTTAAAATCATCATCTGACCTGTCCTCTACGGCTGTATGTAGCAAAAAAAATTATCGGCACAGCTTGAAGCAACTAGAACAATTGAAGAGCACACAATCTTTGTAGTGAATGCAAGGAACATTAATGAACACTGGAACACTGAATTAGTTCACTTTTTTGCACCACTTCAGGATGTTTGCGGACGTTGATTTCATTGAAATGTGCTGTGTTAATTGTCGCCAAAATGGATCACGCTCATTTCACAAACGATAGCAATAGCCATCCATACCAGGATTTGCCTGTTTCTTGCTTCAAATTACCACAAGCTTCAACTAGTGATTTCCACTTGATCAACGGTCATTCATGCATTCAGTCTCGTGATTCAATTACTTTCAGTCACAGCGCTAAAATGCTGAACTATTTCTAAATCTACCGATCATTTTTCGGCTGCATTTTTCAATATAAATCACTTCTGTCTACGAGGCTCTCGCTTATATTCGTTGTGACCTCCGAAAAGATTTGAAGGGTTGCAGATCTAATATAAGAAAATTTGGTAGTATATCCGTATGATATACTAATAATATAATGAACAATGAGTCAAATGAATGTAAATAATCGTACAAGCTTAATCCATTGTTCCAGTTATAAATTAAATGAGCATCAATAGATTTTGAATGCAACAAAGACACAACATTCCGCAGGTATGGCATGAGCATGAAAGTGAACTCAAAAGTAAACACAGAGCGAAGAAAGATCAATGGAAATTTGAGTCTTTTGAAAATGATTTTATCCGACTACCTCAGAAAGCAATCCTTGACAAACTGTCGTGATGTGATTTCAACGAGCTACAAATAGACACTCTTTATTCATGAGATCCATTCACTCATTTGCTGTCAACATCCAGTTTTTTTTAAACGTTCATCGATGATTACGAATTTGAAGAGCACAGAAATGAATTTAAGGATAACGTTACGATTCAAGCAAACAAGTATATAGATGTGTATACATACATTTATATTTATATATTCATATATATAAACGTACATATAAAAGTATACATACCAGGCGATTACGTTGTGTCGTTTGCGGTAAAACGGAATGAAGTTGTTTAGTGCTGAGAAATGACGATAAATTTGTTGCGTATTCAACTAGCATATTGCTCAACAAAGGATTTGTGCATGAATAGCTTTAATCATCAAGATGCGAATGAATAATTTCAATTCAATTATTACTCATAGTTCGGAATAGACTTATTTCATTTATCAACTGTCTGATGATGTGCTGAACCTGATAATGTTGGTCAATATGCCGGAAGAGTCAATTTTAGTTGATTTATGCACATAACTTATGAGAATGTATGAATGAAATGATTTCGTGGCTAAAGCAGAGTGAAATTTTCTTGTTTGATTTGGAGATTCAGTTCGCACAGGAAATTAACGCTTCGTATATCATAGGAAATTTAAGTGGGCCATTGGTCTTGTTAATGAAGTAGTATGGTATTGAATTGAAATATACGCCTACCACTTCAGTGCATCTCAAAAACGGATGCTGAAAAACACTGTTTATGTTTGAGAATGGCAATAGAAGAAGACAAAAGAATGAGATGATGAAGTAGAAGTTAGTAAATCGAAATGCAGGATGAGCTGGGCAAGAACAAACTGAGCATCGAAGAAGCAGATAGCGAGCCAAACAGGCCATAAAATTTGAAGTGTTATGAGGTAACAATGAGCGATTATAAATCAAAAGATCGAAATGCTGCAAAAAATTTATCTCACAATGCACCCTCAAAACAATGAACCAATTTGAGTTGTTCATGTATTGCTGTTCACTGTTGAACAAACGAAGGAATCCAAAGACACCATATCACTAAAAACAACCAACTTACTAAATTATAATGAATGCTAAAACTATGATATCAGTTCATACTCTACATTCCAAAGGCATCACATTACAATATCCATTATAATATTATTGCATTGAAGGATCTTATAGCAACAAAATTTTATTCGCATATTTGCATTGACCACTAGATTATAGATGTTTTCGCAGCGAATTATTTTTTCACTCTCCTGCCCCCCCTTCCCCTCTTCACTTTCCTCCTTCCTCCCTCAATTCAACATAACAAGTTTTGAGCAAGTTTTCTGAATCTCTTTTGAGGTTTTCTATTTATTTTTGATACTTTTTAAAAATTATTTTCTGAATTCCATTCTCGCGAAATACTTCGATTCGATGAAGGTTTTGTTTTAATTGAGTCTGATTTTACATATATTTTTAAATCATTTGATTTTCCTTCCTAATTCATGTCCAAGTTATTTAAAAGAAATAATGCTTCTCTCAATGTGTGCCCACAAACGTTTTCATTCTTTTCGAAATGGAATACCCTCGAACCTTCAGTTCTACAGTGAAGTTTTCTGCCTAATGACTGAACATTCAGAAAAATGACTGGATCTTCTTCCTTCCAAATACGAACAATCGAATATTGAACTTCGGCGGTTTTATTTTTGATTTGTCAGCTGAGTTTAAAATCGACTTCATCCGCCCACTATTTCCAGGAATAATTGCTTTTAATCAGCACTAAACTTACTCGACAGCGTTCCTTGTATGTAATTTCCAAAAAACGGTCATCAGTCACTGATCTACGAGAAGAAAAAACTGCATGAATCTGAGGAAAGTTTCTGAATTGTTTTTTAGTATTTTTAGCATCATGCAGCTCGGTATGGGATTCGAAAAATTGAAGTATCATTGGAGAGTAGGAATGCCATACCACTGAATGGGATGAGTCATTTTC